CTCTCCACAGGCCTGGCCGGCGTCAGCAGCAACCTGGAGAGCATCCTGAAGCAGCGGGGCTGGGAGTGGACGTGAGTGGGTGGTAGGGCGGGGAGGGAAACAGGGTTTTGGGGAGGTTTTTTGGAAGCCTGGGGGGGGAACCCGTCCAGAGCTCACCGGGGATGGAGCCGCCCTGTCGTCCCCCCCCCACTGCCTTCTCTCTCTGCAGGCTGCCCCTCGCCAAGCTGGCCTTCAAGCTGGGGCTGGTGGCCCTGTGCTCCTTCCTGGGCGCCTGCCTGACCTTCCCGGGGCTGCGCCTGGCCCAGACGCACCTTGACGCTCTCCGGATGGCGGCCGACAAGCCCCTGACCCAGTTGGGTGAAATCTGCGGGCGGGGAAGGAGGCGAGGGGGTCGGCGCTGGCATCTCGGGGGGCCGGGAACCCCCCGACTCTGTGGCTGCAGGGCGGCGAGGAGGTTGGGTGGTGGGAGAGGGTGGAGAGGGTGTGGGCGAGGACCGGTCCCTGCCCGCGGAGGGATGGAGGGAGGGAGCGGGGGACACCAGGCTGCATGGGGGTCTCTGACAGCTCCGCCACAGGGTCCTGCTTCACCTGAGTTTCCTGGCGCCTCTCCTTGTGGTGGTGATGTGGATCAAGCCCATCTCGCGGGATTTCCTGCTCCACGCGCCCATGGGCAAGCAGACGGTGCAGATGTAAGTGGGGCACCGGCAGCGGGTCCGACTTTGTGTCCCGGCATCCTTGCTCCGAGGGGAAACTGAGGCACAGGTGCACCAGTCCACCTCCTCCGACACCAGTAGCCCCTTCATCCTCCCCACCACCTCTCCCATCAGACACCCCCTCTGGGGCACAAGGGGTTTCTGGACTCTGAGATCTCCCTGACAGCCCCCTCCTCTTGCCCCAGCATGTCGGACTCTGCCTACAACACCACGCGCCTCTGGACCGTCGTCGGCCTCTGCCTGTTGCGCCTGGCTGTCACCCGCCACCACCTCCAGGCGTACCTGGGCCTGGCCGAGCGCTGGGTGGAGCAGATGAGGAAGGAAGCCGGGCGCATCGCCGTCCTGGAGATCCAGCGCAAGGTCCGGACACGGGAGCTGGGGTGGGAGCGGGGGTCTGGGCACGGCCACCGGCCTCCCGCTGATCCCCACTGCCCACAGATCACGAGGATTTACTGCTACGTCTCCGTGGTCAGCCTGCAGTACCTGGGACCCATCATCCTCACCCTCCACTGCACGCTGCTCCTCAAGACGCTGGGTAAGGAGGCGTCGGGGGGGATGCGGGGGCTCGGGAGGGACAGGATGAGACCTGCAAGTCATCGTCAAGCCGTCAGCATCCAAGGCGTCCCCAGGCTCTCAAGACATGGTTTGCAGTTGGCACGAACCTACTGCATGCAGCGAGCGTGCTGGGACTCGGCCACCAGCACGTCTGTAGCACGGGGATGGGGCTGCAGTGCAGGGATCGACCCCCACGGACCTGTCCCCTCTGTCATGCAGGGCACCACTCGTGGGGGCTGTACCCGGAGCCCCCTCCCCTCCCTCCGGCAGCGACCGCAGCACCGCCACGTCCCGGCAGCGAGGACAGGGAGGACGTGCGTGCCGCGGTGGAGCAGATCACAGGCATCTTGGGAGGCATCTTCACCCCTCTCTTCTTCCGCGGATTCTTCGCCTTCCTCACCTGGTGGGTGGCCGCCTGCCAGGTCGTCACCAGCCTCTTCGGCCTCTACTTCCACCAGTACCTGGCAGCCTCCTGACTGCAGGGAGCTGGGACCTGCCTTGGGGTGCAGGTGGTGCCCAGCTGCTGGTCCCCTTGCTCCTGCCTCGGCTGGTTTCCCCCTTTGCAGGTGCCCGTGGCACACGTGGACACGCATGTGGGGACACTTCTGTCATCGGTTCTTGTCACGACGGGTTTTATGCATGCGGGCTGGCGTGGGCATCGCCTGCTCCTGCTGCCAATCACCACTGTGCCTGCTCTTGCCCCGCTGCCGCTCCGGGCTGCGTCCCTCTTCCCCTTCCCAGCCCCGCATGGTGATGGAGGAGCTGAAGCCCCGCAGCGGGGTTTGCTGCTGCCTGCTCTGACCCGTTGCAGCTGCCCGAGGCTCTGCTGCTCTGTTTTTCTCAAGGGCAGCCACTCCTGCCAGCCCTGGGCAATACATGCCAGGCAGAGGACTCGGCAAGGATCACCCTTGCGTGGTGGAGACCCCACCACAGCCGGGCTGGACCGACAGCGTGGCTTGCCAGCACAGACTTTGGAGTTTCCTCTGCCTAGTGTTTGCTTCCACCGGCTGAGGTTGAGTGTGTTTTTGTAGGGTTGCTGCTCTGGCCAGCTGAGTCCGAGCTCCTTGGGGGTCATCCCTCTGCTTCGTGTGAAATCCTCAGGCCCAGCAGCCGCCTCAGCTGTTGGCCGTTCTAGAAATAAATAAGTAACCCAGAGTCCATTTGCCACGCTGAAAGCTGCTGCTTTGTTTGCACTTTGTGGCCCTGAAGCCCCTCGAGAAGGGCAGGGGGTCCCACAGTGCGAGGGCAGCTGCCTTTGGGCAGGCGGGCGAGCAGCAAAGCAACGGGAAGAGGCTGAGCACTTAAACAAACCCTGCAGCCCGGCCCCATCGCACTCGAGGAGGAGACCTCACGTTCACCCCATCACAGCCCGAGTCGGTGCCTGTCCCTGGCCCTTCCTCCCCTCGGCACTGGGATCGCACCCGCGCTGATAAAGTGCTGCTCAGTCCAACGGCGGCTGCGGGGGGGCAGGGGGGTGTCTGCAGCCCCTTGTCCATCTCAGCCAGGCTCTTCTCCCACCACATGGTGGGTGCTGGTCCAGCTGCATGAAAAAGGATTAGCAGGTCTGGGCTGCTCAGAGAAAGGGAGAGGAGCTCTGATCCTATTTGATAGCCTTGTAATGGTCTTAATTCCCTCTTGCTAAGGGCTGAGATGAGAAGGCAGCCCTTTGCCCAGTGTTAACAGGGCTAATCCGGACAGCCCTCCTCCGCCTGGTTCCCGAATACCCGAGCTGCAGACACAGTAAAAGCCCTTTTGCAAAAAAAATTATGGGGAAATTCCCCTTTAGCAAACAGCTGGGGAAACCAGAGCCCAGAGCAGCACCATTAACCAGCACAGGGCCAGGAGGAATTTGGCTCCAGCAGCACTGTCACCAAGACGTGGGTGGAAAGGTGCAAGGAAGAAATGATTCCCCCAGGGCCAGGATGCAAGGGGACTTGTTCCAGCCTGCGCCGTCCCATTAAAAGCTAGTCCGACTGCCTTGATGGCTCATTTATCTAATTTTCCTTAAGCATGTGGAGGAAGCAGCCGGGGGCTGAGCTGGCAGGGAAGCCTTCGCAGCAGGAGGACGGTTGCTAGGGCCTGGGGTTGTACTGCATTCAGACATGCAGACAGTTCCTCCCCTGAGATCTGCCCAGACGTGACCCTCTCAGGCGGGGACAATGACTGATAGACTAGCCAAGAGCAGGAGACAGATCCACAGGCACTGAAATTGGGCCACATCAAATAAAATGAAAGAGCCCCCCCATCTTCCTCACCCCAGAATTATTTTTACTCTTTGTATCTTTGATTTAGAATGCGGTACGGGCTGGGCTCTGCTCTGCAAAGGGCCACGCTCAGGCTCTCAGCAGAGAGGGGAGCAGCTGGGACCAAGAGGTTTTGTAGCTGCAGAGGCTCCGCTGGCACCAGGATTCAGACTGGCACCAGGAGTCCCTGCTGTGACCCAGATGTGGCCTCGCATCGCCCCTGCTGCCCTAGTGCACACCCACCTTCGGCTCCCGCTGAGCCAAACTTGGCAAGAAACCACGGTCTGGGGAGAGGGCTTGGATCGCAGCAGCTTCTGGAGGTCTTCCTTCATGCCCTGGCAGGGAAGAAAGCAGTGAGCCCTGCCTTCCCACCCCACCTCCCTCCAAAATGAGATCCCCTTGCCATCCTTACTGCCTGCATCCTGCGGAGCTGTTCCTGCTTGGAGCAGGGAGAAATTTCTAATCGCAGCGCTCTCCGTGGCTGGCAGCCCAAACCAACCTGGGTGGACGCTCCCCTGCACGCAGGGAGCCAGAAAGCCAAAGGCAGGGACGCTACCCTCAACCGGCAGGGTCCAGAGGGGTCCGGGGGAGGTGGACAGGGACCATTCTCCCGCTTTGCCACAGGCTTCCCGCAAGGTTTACTGCAAGTCTCAGCCTCTGGGTCTCCGTTTCCCTTGGGGTACGACCGGGACGTGGGCTCTGCTCCGCCTCGCAGGGAGCAGCGGTGGGCTACGGGGAGGTTACCGCGAGAGGGCTGGATCCGTCCTCACTGCTGAGACTTCCCTGCCTTGCAAGGAGCGCGAGATGGCAAAGCATTGCAACGGCACATCCACGCTAGACCTGAAATGCAGCTGAAAGCCCCAAGAGCCGAGCAGGGCTGAGCAGCAGCCGGGGGACCCCCAACTTCGGGGAAGCCGCCGGGCCATGCCTAAGCCGACAGTGCCACCTGCTGCCACTGCACGCCCGTCCCCGTCCCACACTGCGGCGCAGGGGACGGGGACAGCACAGGCCTCCTCTGGAGGAACCACAGGTTTCGAGCCAGCTCCAGAGGGGCTTTCCTTCCTTCAGGCTTCTCCCGGCTTCCACGGGAGGAACTTTGGAGGGAGCTCCGCGCACAGGAGACCTGTGTGGTTGGGGGCACAGTCAGCCCCACAGGAGGTACCCCCAGCCACAGCCGCCCCCCACCCAGACACCCCCACATTTAGTCTCTCAATAAATCCACCCAGATGTGCCAGGCCCCTCTCTCTTATGAGCAACATACAATAGGAGACACCCTCAGAGAGCCTGCAAAGTCAATTATATTTTTTATTAAATATACATCCTCTCTTGGCACAAATCTTAAAATATATAAACATTATATAACAAAGTGTCTTCACTGCAATAAAATAGAACTCCAGATCCGAGAAAAGCAGTCAAAACTGACACACATACATACACACACACATTGATGGTGAGGACACGTCTTGACAAAAGGCATTTAACAGTGTTTGTGCTAATATATGCATAGACCACACAGGCAGTGAACAGTGCTGGGAAACCCTGCATCACATGGCATTTAAGGGGGAGACGGGGGTAGCAGGAGGAATCAGCCCCTACAATAAGAAAAAGGCTTTTTTGTAGGAAGGCCACCTCCTCCTCTGGCCCAGTCCAGGTAGGGAGGGTCCGTAACACAGGCCCTGGCTCCCTGCGGAGCCCAAGTGACCCAGTCAGGCACTGGGAAATGGCATGGGAATTATCCCACTGCATTTCCTCCTCCTCCTGCCCGCCCAGGACTGGCACCAGACTCGCTCGGGGGTTGCCACAGTGCTTCTGCTCAAAGTTTCCTTTCATGCCTCATCTGCTTTTGTGTTAAAGACACCAGAGGGTGAAGATGATAGTGCTCGAGTCCTTCTAGGCGGAAGGTAATAAGAAGTTCACAGAAGTACCACTATTCCACAGAAGGTATGAAACTGCTTTCGGAGAGCTTCCATGGAGTACCAATGCTACACCACACTACCCACCCCATGGCTTTCGGTGACTTAATGCCTCAGGAAGCCATGACTCCTCTCCTGATCCTTCCACCACGGTCCTGCCACCACGGCTCTTGGGCGGCTCTGTCTTCCTGGGGAACTGGCAGAGGTCTGCCCGGGGCATGCAGGGCAAAGGGGTTTGCAAGAAGCCAACTCCGATCCCACCTCTCACGTATTCAAGTTCCCTAACTGACCCTCCAAGGCTCCCAGAAGGACCAGCTCTCCCCGAGCTACCTACCCAGGCAGCAGCCACCTTCACAGAGCACAGCAGGCATCACGTGGAGGTACAGAAAGAGGGAACGATAAGAAGCAGCAGCATTTCACAGCTTGTGAAGGAAAGGTGCTAGGAGAAGGAAAGGCACTAGGCTGGACAAGCAGGTTCGAGAACCTTTCAAGAAAACCTTCTGCCCCATCATCTAGTGCCTTTAACTTCTTGCCCCCCCAGGCATCGCTGCCTGTGACTGGGAAGCCTAGCTGGGCTGTTTGGGCATCGCTATCAAAGCTGCAATTTCGTCATTTTGGATGCATTTCATTGGACCTGATTTTCTCGAAGTGCTAGTGCGGGACTAAAGGTGCAGAAGCAGGGAGGGAGGGAGAGTAGACAAGAAAAGAAAAAAGCACAAATTAATGTTTGGCGGTAACGCATTAAGGAACAATGAGAAACACAACTTGAAAATAAAAGCAAGGAATCTGAGAAGATTAAAATGAAAAAAATGGGGAATTTGGGGTCGTAGAGAAATTCTAAAGAAAAGAAGGACTAGAGAATATTCCTGTTAGACTTGTCTCCTTTCTCAGAGCTAAAGGCAATGGACCTTCTTGGCCAGCACACAGGCACCCTCCCTTTCCAAATCAGCATGCCCAAAACTCCTCGGGCACTCATTCCAGGCTGCAGAGAGATCTGGAACACGTCTCAATTCATGCAAACATTAAGAGAAGGGAACAGAACACTCTGTTTCTCCTTTTCTACATTCAAATCAGAGAAGAAAAAAAGGAAAAAGCTATTTAAAACAACCCAAAGCAATAACACAGAGTGCTCTGAACACTTTTGCCCAAGAAACAAAAGCACCAAAACCATTACAGACTGAATTCAAAGATCTGTCTCTGAACAAACACTCAGCCTGCAAAACTTGGAAAAATGTGTTTGGCTAAAATTCCATTGAAATAAAATCAGGTGCAGCTGCTAATTAAGGAACAACTTATCTGAGCCCAACGCTTCCAAGCCTGGCTGTGCTTCAGGTCTTGTTTCTCAGCTCAGAGCCCCCAGGCTCTAGATGAGCTGCCTGCACTGCGTTTCAGCTGCAAGGTGGGTGATGCCGGAGTCAGCCAGCCAGAACCCGACTCCTCCACAGGCTTCCCGTTCATTTAATACACTAGCTGCACTTCTGACGTGGCAGAAGGTACCCTGTGCGGATCTGCCCTCCCGCTCAGTCCCAAACAAGAGGCTAGTCATCCAGTGTAAATCCTTCCTCAGTCAGGACCCAGGAGGAATTAAGCCACCTCTCTTGCCATAAGGGTTCAGTGATGCTCAACATCTCATGAGACAAGGTCTGCTGCGCTTGCCTCTGAGACGACCTACCGTACTGCGGAGCAAAGGAGCTCGCTCTAACTTGGATGCCACAGTTCAGCTTCCTCTCGCCTTCATACAGCAGCCATCGGCTGTGCAGAAAGGACTGTGCTTTGAACTGGCAGCCTCCAAGCTGAGAGAGAACTTGGCATGGATCGTACACAGTCAGACACACATACACGCATGTACGCTCGGTCAACTGCTGACACAAGTAGTCGCTGGTCTGTACCTCACTTTTGTGGTAGGATGCAACTGCCGTCGTATTTCCTCACTGGGCCAGACAAGATAAAGACAAGAGCAGAAGTAACTGGCTTCTCCATTGGAGAAAAGAAATCAGAGCTCTTGCAAAGGACT